GGGGGGGGGCTACCCATCCCCCCCCAATCAATCAATCAATCAATCAATCAATCAATCAATCAATCAATCAAAAAAAAAATCAAAAAAATCGATGTGTTTTGAGTCTGGTTAGGTTTTTGATTTTTTTAAAAATAATTTAAATGCTAAAAAAATTAAAAAAGAAATATGGGGATGTAGAGCGCAAAAAAATCTACACCCCCATTTTTTTTTTGTTTCGATTATTTTTTGCCTGCAAAAAATTAAATTGCCGGCCGGGTTGTATAGAGGTATAGCGCGGCGTTGTAACGGGGGTTCAACCGTCAACGGAAACCCCTGTCGAATCGAATTTCGGACACATAGAGCTCAATCATGACGGTCACCCTTTTTTTTTGTGCACCATCCCAATGTGCGCTGCACCACCAGTGATACCCATCGTGAAAGGGTCAGCACGTGCGCGCACTGACTCCCACACAACGGGTGTCATAGGTAAGAGAGAAACAGACAAGGTTCTTCCACGTTGCAAAATTTGGGTGGGAACTTATCCCTGGGGGTCAGTGCAAAAGCCCTTGTGTTATTGTCCACCCTATAAGCTCCAAAAGAGGGAACACCTCGGTGGTGCAAGTCAGGAATACTTATCAACCAGCGAGCACGCCCGCAACCTGTTGAATAGCAGACTCAAGTACGAATCGAATGCAATCAGAGATGAACAGAAGAGATGAAACCTGAGCCCCGCCAGTTCAATGATGATATCACCCAAGGAGACTGGGCTCCGTCATATTGGCAGATTTCACGGCTAATCTTGGTCCGCGCTGGGGGCAAAGTTCGGTGTGTACTGCCATGGAAGCGGAGTGACCAGGGAAGAGACGACAATATCAGGGTAGTCTTTTTGGTCCCAGAATGGTGACAGCAGTGGACACGCCCGTCCCACTCCCCCACACCCCCACCCCCGGCGCCTCCCTTCCCCTTCCCTCCCCTCCCTCCCCTCTCCCTCCCCTCTCCCTCCCCTCTCCCTCCCCTCTCCCTCCTCCTCTCCCTTCCCCTCTCTTTGCTCAATAGATCTTCAGGAATCACTCCACTACTCACGAAACTTGGTTTTGGGTGAGGTTGGCATTGCTGCACGACCTCATGTGACTCACACTTGTCAGAAGTAGTTTAGATTTGGGTTGGTGATCACCCGATGGAGAGTCCCTCTGCAAGATAGACATTTGGCAGGACCTCTTAGTTACCCTCTAAAATCGGTGAGCTTCCAACGGGGGGCCCGTCTGGACCATTTTTTTGTTTTCTTCTGTTGTTGTCAGAAGTGATGTAGGTTTGGGTTGGTGAACACGCAACCAAGAGCCCCGCTGCAAGACAGACCTCTGGTAGGACCTCTCAGCCACCCTCCAAATTGGTGAGTTTCCTACCGGTCCGGTCTGCACCAAGTTTTCGTTTTTTTCTGTTGGTTTGAGTGATCACTATGAAAAAAATATTTCTCTCTTTGACCTTTCACTACGTACCTACCACTACTCCTAAGCCTAGAGAGGGGACCATTCAAAGCATAGTTTTTTTATTCTTCTCTCACAGTCAAGGGCATGCACGTTGGCAGTACGTTGGGGGGGGGCACTAACTACACTAACCCAGAGACAACATTTTGCCAGTAGCTGCACCCCCGTCCAGTAACAGCAGTGTCTATTTGCCAGCACTCTCCCACACACCACACAGAACTCACACACACACACCCGTGATGACCAAAGACCCTACCAATACCGAACAGGGGGAGCAAGCTACCTATGTCGCTGGGTATGACTAAAGACCCTACCAATTCCGAACAGGGGGAGCAAGCCGACCATGTTGCTTGGTTGGCACCAAGCATGTGTGCCAACCATGCATAGGAGGTAAGTGGGGATTGAACCCACAACCACCCAACGAGGGGCAGCAAGACAACTATCTTAGGTACTCCTGCTGGGTAGACTCTCTCAATTGGGCCTGTAGAACATTGCATGAGCCTGGCGTCCGAAGTTCCAGTACGGCAAGGTTCGTCCCCTTCCGCTTCCACTAGGGCTGGGGGTTTGGCCCAGCCTTGGTGCTTGTCACTGCTGTCTGGTCCACGTTGCCCTCCATACCCGTAGAGTGATGGTCCTGAGCGCTGGTCACATTGAGGTACGATAGTAGGGACAGGTGGTGCGGTGGGAGTGTTAACGTGGGGATGGGTAGGGTTGGTGGCCTATCCTGTCAGGACAGCCATTGCCTGCCGCTGCCAGCAATCACCGCGAGTAGCGTCCCTGGCCTCTACAACACATTGGGCTTCACCAAAAAAAAAAAAAAAGCAGAACTTTTGTGAGGTGGTGTGGCCAGGGTTCAATCCGGCGAGTTTTCACAGCGGTGGGACCTCCCCTTGACACCCATGCAGTGGAGGTAAGAGGGGATTGAACCCACGACTACACTACCAATACCGACGAGGGGAAACAAGGCAACCTATCACCCTTGTATGGCACAAGGCGTACCTAGGCAGCGACTGGGGAGTGAACCACGAATGGCACTGGTGGGCCAACGGAGGTAGTCGGATTGCAGAGAACAGAACTTTTGTGAGG